CGGTTCCCCCGCCGTAGGAACGACGTGGGTCAGCGGCGGGTCATCAGCGGCGACGGTGGAGCAAATAGGCCGGATGTGGCGGGAGGTTTGGTTTCTGGGACGTCGGAGTTTTATGTGTTCGCCGATTGTTTTTGAAGAAGACGAGGGCTCTGCAACGGGAGACATCTTTCAGACAGATGCAGAGAGAGAATTGAGGAAGAAGAAGGAGATAATGGAGAAGTGGAGAAAGAGATACGCAAAGCGGGTGAGGGGAAAGGGAAGAGAGAGAAGAAGTTTTTTAAAGTTTGGTGAATCACTTAATTATTAATCTACTTTTATATTTGATTTATTTTGGGATAATAAATACTAATCATGACTCCCATCAATATATATATATATATATATATATATATATATCAAATAAATATGACGTAAGCTTATTTTGTGCAAGTATTTCTTTTTGTATCATTCAACTGCCATTTCTAATATAAAATTAATTGCTGCATATCTTGACTCGGAATTGACTCAAATACACACACGCATTAGGGGTGGAAAAAAAATCCGAATTTCGCGTATCTAAAAGAACGAGATACAAGTTTGGATATTAATATTAAAATATTCATTTCGAATTCGAGTTCGGATAATTGATATATTATCTCATGGATATTTGTAGATATCTAGATAATAAAAATTTTCATCCAATTGAATAGTTTAACCGGTAAAATAGGATGTAAAACGTTTGTCCCGTCTCGGATTCGAATCTTAAATTTGGAGAAAAAATGTATAATCTAAATTATATGATGACTCTCACTTTCAAAATTAATGTAGATCTTGGTTCAGAATATCCGATTATCTAAAATAAATAAATAAAAGTTTTCATTTCAAATTCAAAACCTAATATAAAAATGATAATGAATGAAGAAAATATAGTTTTTTAAAATAAAAAAATATAGTTTTTTTTATCACTATAGACCGGATTTTCTAATAAGATATATCTTGTTTCACACAACGAATTTTCCTTAAAAATCATTTTACTTGAAGCTAATTCATGGAAATGAAAAAAAAGGAGACTTCTACAAAGCAAGTTTATGCAATACACATAATTTCAATATATTTATAAATTTGATTATATGTATTTTGTTATAATCGATAATTTATATTTAATTTACTAATAAATACTGCAATTAGACGGTGATAAAGAGCAGCAGGTTTGGATTGGATGCTCATTCATAGATTCCCACCAGCTTTTGACCTTTATCAGAATTTAAAATTAAAAAAATGGGAATTTGACTTGATTTTGTTATTATATTTTGCTTTCATTAAAATAATTTTACTTTTTTTCCCAAGAAAAAAATAAATTTAAAACAAAAACTGATGCTTGCTTGTGTAAATAGAAAAGGCTTGAGGCACTTTTACTTTTTGTCGGATTTATTTTCAATTTATTTATTCGGGATAGGAAAGAACAAAAAGGGCGCTAAGGTGTTACCATAATTCCCACGTTAATATATTTATTAGAAAAAAATAAAAATGTGTAATTTTTTGCCATCATTTGGAAGTTTTTTTTTTTTACTTTTTTTATAATTTTATGAATAAAAAAGCATGCACACTGCGACAGAATGGACAAAAAACATTGGTCTATGTTTCTGCAAACAATTCAGAATTATAAATAATGCTTGTGGATGTCAATGCAAAGTTTCTTTTTATATTAAATTTATATTTTCTTTTCTAGTTGAGATATCTGTTTTGAATGTTTTTTTTTTTGTCAGGAAGAATTGGAATTCGGTCCCTTAATAACAAATTTCTTCTTAGAACGATTATAAATCTTGCGAATATATGTATGTAGCCCAGTATAGATATAGTGTGTATATATATTGGATGTAATTTATATATGGATATGTAAATTTTAAAATAAAATAAATTTGAAGTGAATTTGATAAAATATGATTAGATATATATATATATATATATTAATTTAAATTAATCGAAATTTAGTCCCAATCTAACAAAATACAAAAGCAATAGAAAATGACAATTTAAAAATAAATAAAGTTTTAATAAAAATGAATAATTATCCCATAAAAAATAAATAATTTTAATAAACTAAAAATAATAACGAAATAATCACGGCAACATGCAGTAAAGTCAATTAATTTGTAGGGAACAAAATTTGTATAAAATATAAATATGACGGCGACTTTGTTTTCATTCCAATTTTCAATCAATGGTAACGATAATAATAAAATTCCCATCCGATGAAAGCGTGGGTTCAGTGCAAATTCATCGCCGTAATTTCAGCTTTAAAGCGAAGGTTTAGACCATATAATAATAATAATAATAATAATAATAATAATAATATATACGTGGTTCGCGATAGCTCGACATGAAAACCCACATTTTTTTATATTCAACAATAATTTTTATATTCATATTCGGATGCCGTACGATAATATATGTATATATAGGAATATACATTAGCAGACTCGTTTATTATTAATATGGAATTTTCGATACGAATACCATATGTGATAATATCATCTTATATCCTATATAATTTAGGATTATAAATATTTATTGACAGAATTATGACTAGATTTTAGTGATGTCAAAATGAATTAGATTAATGAATTAGTTCACGGTTGGCTCGTTTTTTGATGAACCGAACCGAAAAAGTAGAAGATCAAATAAAAACGGATTTAACGAATCGGTTCGCTATGAATCCGAGCCTAATCGAACCAATTCGGTCGGTTCGCAAACCAGTTCACGAATTGGTACAAAAAAAATATCCTTTTATTGTAGAAATTGAAAAAAAAACAAGTGAAAATGAATGTGGGGATTAAAATCAAATTGACGACGAAGAAAATTAGAATTCATGATACGTTGGCGTTGGTGTATGTTTTTGTTTTATTTTGTTATTGGTTGGCGTATGATATTTTTATAGATTATTATGCTAAATATTTTATATTATTTTGAATCACTTCAAATTATTGTTATATAGATTTCAAATTATTAATTTTTATATAATTTTAAAAGATTTTTTAGATAATTAGATAAATATAAACTTGTTCGCGAACTGGTTAGATAATTTAGTTTGGGTCAAAGTTTTTCTAGTTCATAAAAAACATATCGAATAGATTGAAGCCAAAAATAAATTGGCTCCCGGCGAGCCGATCCGGGCCAGTCTGGGCGGGGTCAACCCGTTTTACAATCACTACTAGTTTTTTCATGATATATAACATATGTCAGATATTGAGAGTGTCATTTCTCAACATTAGCCATAACGCAACAATGCCAAAAATCCAAGCTTTCATGGCTTCTAACATCCCATGTATCACTTTATTTTTTTTGGGGGGGTTTATAATTTTAATTTACTATTAATCACAAAAAGGGAATAGAATAATGTTTTTTTAAAGCTGGGTTAATGGTAAAAAAAAAAAAAAAAAAAAAAAGGAGGTAGGAACATCACAGAGTCCAATGGCTAAAGTCTCAACCTCCATATTCTCTCGTCACAAGAACCAAAAACGACACGACAAAATCAAATATAAAATAAATTTGGCAAAACAATGGAAATTTTTCTTGACCAAACGCTTTTTTCTTTGCAATTAATAATAATAATAAATTTTATTTTTCAAATTGTACGCTAAATTAATGGATGTGAGAAAATCGTAAATATTTTATTAAGTTGCCTTGCCTGTATACTCTCATTCATCATTCTCACGCCTCAAAATTCAAACAAATTGTATTTGTTTATAAAATCATAGTCATGCCAAAAATTATGTCCGAATTGCACAAAGTGACTAAAAGTCCATGCACTCAAACTATATTCCAAGCGAATCATCACATGCTAAGACCGACCCAGCCTTTGACTCGGAACAAATTACACGAATAATAATAATAATAATTTGATTATATTTGTGATTTTATCCTCTCTTATAATCTTCAAATCCTTTAATATCTCGAAATTTTAATATAATTCCAGAAGCACCTATGCAGAAGAAATGTTGATGATCCATTTATGCAACCCAACAAAATTAAACCGGAATTACAATTTTATATTGGATAAATTAAACCGGACCGGACCAGTTTTCATCGATAACCGGAGCCGAGGGAGTCTTCCTCAGAAGGAAAGCGAAAAGACCTGTCAAACCCTAATTCCTCGGGTCAGAACCAAAGCCCTAGTTTTCCATTTTCTCGATAAACCCTAAATCTGTGTTGGAACCAATGGGACGGATTCTGCTCAGAATTTCTACTAATCTCTTCGTTCGCAATCACCTCTATTCTCCCGCTCATTTCCGCCATGGGAGCTCTTGCCCTTGGCTCCTTCCACTCGGCGGAGCTCCTACGCGATCCCGGCTCGTCTTTTTCTCCTCCGAGTCCGACCCGTCGCGTAAACCTGAATGGGGGAATTTACCAGGGTCGAGAAGCTCGGGAGACGATGAAGATGTTAGCAGTGAAGGTACGACTCTGAAATTTTGCCTCCACTGTTTGGTCATCGGGAAAATGAGAATCGCTTTTGCTTACAGAAGGGAGCCGAAACAGATGACATAGATGAACAATTTTGAAATTTTGTTGAAAAACTGATAAGAAAATCGTCATACAACAATAAATGAAGAGAAAAGCTTGAAGTTTTGCAGCGATTCCGTGGAGTGAACCGCCAATGAACTTGAGGTTTTCTGTGTGACAACCGAATAACTTTGCTCGGAAGCGTGCGATTTCTCGTTTTTAATTTCTGGGGCTTAATTTTTGTTGTTCTTTTTCTCTGTTTGTATTCCCAGAGCTGAAAAAGAGGATAAAAAGTTTCATGGATGGTGAAGATGAAGATGCATTGCCCACTATATTTGAGGCAATCCTGAAGAGGAAGTTATCAGGGAGGCACGAGGAGAGTGACAATGAACTGATGGAGGAATTGCAGGAGAAGCATCCGGTTGATACCGCAGAAAAAGGGGATGATGTTGATTCGGATTTCACGACCGATGATTTGGAAGATGAAGATCAGTTTGACACTGACTCTGACAGTGATTAACCCCGTAAGTTTTCCGATTATTTGGATCGAACATAGCATCATACACGAATGCTGCTTTGCTTGAAAATAACTACGAATAGCGAATTGAATGAAATCGAGCCTTTTCGATACATCGCGCTATGCTGCATGATCTGTTGCATTGCGAGATGGCGTCTACTATATCGTTCCTCCGGTTGGAATATATGCAGTTGCCTTCCATCATATACGGGATTATCTATGGCCTTTCTGTTCGCATTACGAGTTACGAATTCACGATTTTATCTGATACGGGATTATCTGTTGTACCATTACGAGTTTACGGTTTCTCTGTGCAGTCCATGACATTGTTTACAATCATGTTGTTGGGGGATAAATAACTTTCCTTTTCCAATATTGGTTTTAGGAGCATATAGAGAAACTAATAACTAGTTATCGTTTCACTTTGTGGTTTTGAGATTTCGATTAACTTGAAGCTAATTACCCATTCTTCATGTTCGATACCAATATATAGGGCAATTGTGGAATCAAACCCGTGAGAAATGCCGGTGCTCGAGGAACAAAGAGATCCGAAATGGAGATTTCAGTGGTATAAATTCTCTGTCCTTGTGGCTCGTGTTTTGCTTGCTGATCTGTTTGAACTCCATGAGGACATTGATGAGCTTAAAGCCTTAAAGCACCATATCGGAACAAGTTTCTTAGAGTTGAATCGTGGCCCCTTTTATCGCTGCGATAAAAGGGTAAGGTACGAGGTTTTGCTCTGTTGCAAGTTATTTTGCCTTTCTCTATGAAGTATGAACATCTTAACCTAATCCTTCCATTCATTGAAACATAGGCTAATGTCCAAATAAACCAATAAATCATTAGAAGCTTTCGGAATATGAGATGAGGTCTAATGAGCACGGGTTCGGCGGTGGTGAGAACCCGACCTTTTGACTCAGAGGTCGGGTTTGATCAATGAAAATACGTACCCACGGGTACCCACTGGGGACGAGAGAGGCGAAACGAAACGAGTTTTTAGGGATTTCTCCCTTACCTGCGGGGCTCGCCCTTGTCTACTCTTCGCCGGATAGTCTCTTTCTCTTTTCTCCGCGCTCCCTCTTCCACGGCTCTGCCGCTCTCTTTCCTCACCTTGACTTCCTCCGTCCTCTCTCTTTCCTCTTGTCTAGTCTTCTTCCACCCTCTTTTTTTCCTCGCTTGCCCGAGTATTTTGCGGTACTTGGGCATCCATGACCGCGGATACTCAAAATTCGGATATTCGTTCTTGTAAAGCCTGCGATAAGATAGTCTGCAAGATTGAAATTAAATAGATGGATCGAAATTTTAAGAAAATTTTTGTGGTTTGGTACATTACAATATATGTTGATGGCCTTCATTGGTCGCACATGGAATTAACATGCCATTGATACTAGTATCAAATATCATCCATTCGCATTGGTTATCAATTTGAGAATCCCTATTATAGTTATTTCTCATCTCACTTGTCACATTTTTGCTGTTGTCTGTGTTCTGACAAATCCGTTCTCACATGGGTTTGGGACATGTGATTCCTATAGAAAAATTTAAAATAGTTATTTATTAAAATAATCTTTTATATGATAATTTGGATGATATTCTCTGTAAACATAAGATGCTCAATCGGTTGGTGCGCCTCTCCAGCTGCTGAAGTTTGTCGTGGAGCAGCTCTCTCGTAATTCGAAGACTCATGAATCCACGTGGATGCATGTGGTATAAATTATGTTTTAGGATGAAAAGGAAAAGGCACTTTTATTTTCCAATGGTAAATTATTAGGCTCAAAATAATATAAATTTATTCCCACATGACAAATCACGAGCTCCTCCACAGTTGCGTGACACCCAATATCCATAATTATAAAAGTTAATTAAAAAAAAAAAAAGCAATACTCGACACTTTGAACTGTGGTGGTTTTATAAATAGAGGACATGGCCCCAACCCAAGAACACCAAACCACATACATCTAGTATAGATCCATCTCTCTCTCTCTCAGAAACCAAGTTGGAGAGAAGCAATGAAGGTTTCTTACAAGACACCATTGGTGTTCACTTGTGCATTCCTTCTTCTTCTTCTACTTCTTCTTGGTCAAGAAACTACAATGGTTGATGCTCAGACTCAGATATGCAACCCTCTTCAGCTAAGCCCTTGTCTGGACACAATCACCAAAGGATCTAACCCGTCTAAACAATGTTGCAGCGCTGTCGTTAAGCAGAAGCCTTGCCTTTGTCAATACATGAAGACCCCTGCCTTCAAATCTTACCTCTCCTCTCCAAATGCCAAGAAGGTTTCCACCCAATGCAAAGTTCCTTTCCCCAAATGCTGATCCTCTCTTCTCTCTCTCTCTCCCCACCTGTTGGTGCTATGTTTCATTTTTGCAGTGTTTGCTTGTGTCACGAGAAACCATATGTTCCTCTTTCTTTGCTGATTTCCATTGTGCTTTTAATAAATTGATCCATCAGGCATGATGGGTTTCTTTTCTTTTTCCTGTTTCTACTTTAGGTTGTGGCTTTATGCTTCCTGATGGAAAAAACGAATAATTGGGTTGCGGTCCTTTTGTGTTTATGAGGTTAGGATTTGAAAACTGCGCCTCAAGGATCAAGATTGAATCTTGACATTGATCCTTTCCCGCTCATTGTTCTTGTTTGAGAACAAGATTCGAAAGAAACATAAGATATGGAGAAAGCACTCCATCCGACAAGATTCACAATCAAACTGAATGCAGACAAAAACAAAAACGCCATGAGAGAGTGAGTGTGTGTACTTACAGATGAAACAGCAGATACATGCGTCATCACAGATGAAGAAGATTGGAGATGTTGTCCCACCCGATATTATTCCACGGTCTGATCTTGTCAGAAGGAACTGCAAAATTGAGCTCAAACATCTCTTTCGGGATGTTGTTCCCTCCTTCGCAGAATCCCATGAGCTTCGCTACAATGGCTGCGCTCTCTTCAACGTGCCTCGTGTCGTAAGGGTCAGTCCAGAGTTTGTTCACAAGCTGGAGTTTCCTCTGTTTTCCCTCGAGAGGTACGTCCCATTCGACGTACAATGCTTCTCTCTCCTCTGGCGTCAGTCGCGAGTTCACCCTCCTTGCTAAGAACTCCCTCTCTCTTCTCAATGCTCTAATGCTGGACGAAGAAATGATCCATTCACATTGAATTCAAGTCATCTATTGATCACATTAAGACATTTTCCAGTTCTAATCTCGCAGACTTACTCATACCACAGATCAAGAACCTAGCTCTAGAGAAGTCTATACTATAAGAGTGGTTTCGGGTGTCACTCGTTAGTAATCAGAGATATACCGATGAATGGTGATAGAAATATTCATGTTTTCGATGACTATAAGAATAGAGAGATGAGGTTATTTTACAAACCTTGATGATAGAGATTCTGCGGGTTCATCGCCGTTTCGTGCTGGTGTTGCATTACCGACTTCTGCGAGATGCTGTTCCAACCAAGTTAACCGTCTTAGCTCGACTTCCATGTATATCTGGTCAGCCTGATCACCTTTAAACAACAAATAGAACTGCGTCCGGTGGATGATGGAGACATGGCAGACATGCCACAGCTCTACAATCTGTTGTCTTTGCTGCTTAAACATTAGGTGCCATGCCACTTGCTGAGTCTCCTCTTCCTCTATCGTGTTCTCGTGTTCGTCTATGTTGTGCCCAGATGCTTCATTTGCTTCCAGCTCAAGCACCTGCACAAAAGTATGATGATCATTGTAAATAGTGAGAAATAGGGGAGATGAGTTTGCTTCTTTGTTGTTGTACCTGACAAACGAGGAGCTGTTTCTGATATTGCAGTTTGGCAACACGTTCTTTGAGTTCTGTTACGTATGCCCTTATGCTTCTCACGTTCTCCTCTGCAGCGGTCTGGAACATCTGCTGCATTTTCTTCATTTTCACTGAGCTTGAACGCCTGTAGCCTGGAGTGCCTTCCCTGGACGAGACATCTCCGCTTTCTTCGCCCTTTTTCGGAGTCTCTTTCTCAGATTCATGTGCATTATCTCTAGTTGCGGAGTTGTTGTTGTTCTCGAGAGGAGCTCTGTTCTCAGCATCGGGATCCACGACTTGCCTAGAAGCTGACAGTGGAGAGCATGGTGATTTCAAGAAATTCTGGCCAGTTGGTGTCAGGGGAAGCAGCTTCTTCTTCTTTGATTGATGATGAGTCTTGGACTTTAGTATTCCATCCTCGGCAATGGCTTGGATAACGTTGTTATTGCCCGGAAGAGACATCACCAACTTATCTATAGACTTCTGGACATTCTCCAGTTGCTCCTCGAGGTTGGCAATGGTGGAGCCTTGCGAGTGGAGTCTTGTTATCTCATCCTTGAGGTTGGCACTTACACTCTTGTTAGGAGCTATGACATCTGCGACTTCCACATCTTGAGGCATCGCCGGTTTAACGCTACGCATTTCCCTTATCTCGGCTTGAAGCTTAGCTATCGTCTGAGCTGCGTCTTGGTTTCCCAATCTATGGCAGGTTACTTCCTTCTGTAGTACCTCAAGTGCTTTCTTCGCTTCCTCTCCGAGCTGCTCTTGAAGGTGTTCGAGTTTTCGGATCTCATGCATCAGCGTGAAGGGAGCAGTGGACGATTGCCTCATAGATTGGCGAATCATGGTTTTTCTTGCTCTCTCGTTCCGGTTTAGCATTTTGTTTCCGGTGTTTGGTGTCAAGGCAACAGAGTAAGAAAGGCATTTCTTGATTGAAGGGTCTGGAGATTCAAAGTGATTGGAGACCTGAGACACAAAAAGACAATGTGTGAAAGTTTTGAGTCAAAAGCTTGCAAGAGTTAAGGGATAGAGGGAGAGAAGGAGGCAGAGAGAAAGAGACCATTTGATGTTGGTCTTCTTGAATCTTTCTGCGTAAATCCTCAAGCTGGGTTTGTGCATTATCTCTATGTCTCCTAAGTTCTTCAATTTCCATTTCCATCTGTGAAGTCATAATGCAGCAAGAGCTCAGGCCTGATTTTGGCTAGACGCTAAAAGATTCAGAGTTTGGACAAACCGAAATGTGACAAAGACCTGTTGGATCTTCAAATCCTTTTGTCCAGACGGATCCGGGGTCCGAAGCTCGGCCTCCAGTCTAGCTACTTCCTTCTGAAGGTGTTTCACCAGTTGCTTATCCGAAACAACCTGCATTCACATAAAACGTAGCAGACAGGTTTATGTTGTTTCATCGAGAGGGTCAAAAAGGAAAACGCAGATAGATAAGCATGGAACAAATGATCTTTACCATGTTTACTTGCGCGTTGTTCGTTACTTCCTTTGCTCGGGTGGCGAAGAAGAGAGTGTTTCTTGATTGTTCAACATGAGTCAGAGCTGGACTTAAGGTACATATGATGGCTGTTCGAGCATTTCCTCCGAGCGAGTGCTGTAATATCCGAGTAAGCTTCGAGTCTCTGTAAGGTATGTGACCGCTCCTTTTCCCCACACTTTTGAAAGGATTCACAAATTTCAGGTGAAATAATAAGTTTCAGGCAAATCACAAGTCAAGCACAATACGTAAAAGAACCAAGATTCTTTACCTTAGTTTCCTGATGACAGTTGTAAGAGTCATCAAACTCAGATTAATATGGCAACCTTCCCTAAGCCTAGTTCCGTCTGCCTGCGTCTGTGACGCTCTTTCGCTTCCTGCTAAATCTACGAAATTCTGCAAAATTCATTTATAACTAAGCATGCGAAAGAAGCGATTCTCAGAACAGAACAAAGCGAAAGGAGAGAGGCATGTTTTTACCAGGCTAGCGACATAGGATCTCACGCAGTCAGAGTTTTCACGGAGCGTGCTTTGTATCGTCTGCTTTGCCATTCAAGAATCTGTTATCAGTGTCTGGCTGGAAGTAATGCAAAATTTTGGTCGGAGAAAATCAACGAACCAAGAACGTTACCAGTCTTATTATTTGGTGCGACCGAGAGCTCGTATCGTTCAAAGCTGTTTCGCCAACTTGCCTTTGAGCTACCACAGTATTGGCATCGAAAGACGAAAGAAAGAAAGGCCAGCTAGTTAGAAAAAATCTTGAACTTGAATAAGCCAGGAGAAACATTAAATGGAACTCACTACAGAAAAAAAAAATCACCAATTTCCAACAGCGTTTCAATAACGATTTTCGTTAGAAATTTCCAACGGATGCCCTTGAAAATTTTCAACAGCATTTCCAACGGATGTCGGTTGGAAAATTCCAACGGAATTTCAACGGATTTGGTTGAAAAAATATTCCAACGAATATCGGTTGAAAATTTAGATTTTAGTTAAAAAAAATCAATTGAAAAAAAAATATATATATTTATATGAATACATGTATTTTATATAAATATATATTTTTATATGTAAAAATATAATGTATATATGTACGAATAAGTATATATATATATATATATATATATATATATATATATATAGATATGTATATATTATGTATCTGTATTACATATATATATTATACAGTTCAAAGCTGTTTCGCCAACTTGCCTTTGAGCTACCACAGTATTGGCATCGAAAGACGAAAGAAAGAAAGGCCAGCTAGTTAGAAAAAATCTTGAACTTGAATAAGCCAGGAGAAACATTAAATGGAACTCACTACAGAAAAAAAAAATCACCAATTTCCAACAGCGTTTCAATAACGATTTTCGTTAGAAATTTCCAACGGATGCCCTTGAAAATTTTCAACAGCATTTCCAACGGATGTCGGTTGGAAAATTCCAACGGAATTTCAACGGATTTGGTTGAAAAAATATTCCAACGAATATCGGTTGAAAATTTAGATTTTAGTTAAAAAAAATCAATTGAAAAAAAAATATATATATTTATATGAATACATGTATTTTATATAAATATATATTTTTATATGTAAAAATATAATGTATATATGTACGAATAAGTATATATATATATATATATATATATATATATCGATATGTATATATTATGTATCTGTATTACAAATATATATTATGCACATATATATATGAATTTAAATGTGTATATACATAAATATATATACATATATACGCATAAATATTCATACATATATATGTATATATATATGTATGTGTGTATATATATATATATTAATATTATATGATATTAAAAGTTTAATTTAGACCAGTTGGATGATTGTCAATTGAAACTCTAGAGTTAAGGAGGATTGAATTGGAATAGTGGAAGGATGGATGACCTATTGGGAAGTGAGTTTGGGGATTAAATTTCAGAGTTTCGAATTTAATATAGAGTTGATATCGGGGTCGGGGTCGGGATCAGTATTGGGAATATGTTTTGAATTTTTCTTTGAAATGAATTTTTCAACGGATATCGGTTGGAAATTCCGTTGGAAAATTCCTACGGATTGCGGTTGAAATTATGTTGAAAATTCTAACGGTTGTCCAACGGATACCGATTTCCAACGATGTAATTCCAACGGATTTATCCGTTGGAAATCCGTTGAAAATATTAATTTCCAAAGGAAATTTGTCCCGTTAGAAATGATCGTTTTTTTTTGCAGTGACCGAAGAGAATGCAGTCACTTACCTTCGCAAATGCTAATCAGATGCCGCAAGTGTTGATCGTTATTCGTTGTTTCTTCAACCAGTTTTTCAACCATGGTACCTTTCTAAAAGAGCAAAATTATTAGGAAATGTAATAAACAGATGTACAACGGATACCATGATATCCGAAAAATGACTTTGATGTGCATAGAAGCAATACCTCTGGGTCGTCCAGGAGCTTAAGGTTGCGCCCACATTCTGAATTTAGCAGGTCCCGGACATTTTCGTTATATATTTCCAGACCTGAAATCTTGATGGTAAAGTCTCGTTCGGGTGTCTGGTAAGTGGCATTGCAACAAAAAAGAAATGGTCAGGAATGCAGCGATAACTAAAAACCGAGGAATTCACAATGTGATCTCAGTAATTCTTACATTCATGATGTGATTGTAAATATCATTGACGGCTTTCTCGGTAATTCCTCGCATAGTATACGTCTTCCCACTGCTCGTTTGGCCATAGGCGAAAATCGTTGCTGAAATATGACGAGTTTGCTGGTTCAGTTCAGACAGACTATAAAACAGACCCAGACACAGCGACCAAAGTAACTGTGTTACCATTTATGCCCATCAAAGCAGACAATGCGACGTTCTTGACGCCTTCCTCGTACACCGACTCTGTCAAAGTTTCTGGACCAAACACTTTATCTGGAAAGAACCAAAACCGTTTGTGTTACTTTGATCCCAAGAAAATCAAGAAAACTGAAAACTGAGCTTAAAGGGAAAAAATGGCAAGACTCGGATTATTACCAAATGTGAATGATGAGGACTGAGGGGAACGTTCTTGAGAAGGCGGCTTGTACACGATAGTGTGATCATCAATGCACTCCCATGCCACTTGGTCTTTAGCCGAAACCTCCTTCTTGTTCAGAGGCCTTAACCTTACTGTAACTACGATCTTTTCCTCCCTCGGTCTCGGGCCTCCTGCCGGTGTCACAGCGGATGTTGTCCGCTCCATCTTTGACACCGGGGTTCCAGGAGTTCTCATTGTCATTCTCCTGCAGAAACAAGTTCCTGGTTCATTGTTTATTCTTGGATCTGGAGTTCACAGAGAAACTAACACTACAGAGATTTGCCAAAATTCACCAGGATTCCCAATTTCGGAAGAAATTAAATGTACAATCCAAACAAAACCCATATAAGGGAGATTCATCAAAATTTTACTCAAAACATTTCCATTTTATTTCATCAGATCTAACTATAAAATCTGGAAAAATCCTGCTTAAGCTATGTAAAAATTAAATTGCCAATTTAATTTTGGAAATTTCATTTCCCCCTTCAATGGAACAAATCGAAACTCATATATGGAAATCATACCCAATCTTGTCTACCAATTTCCCAATCCATACGTCGATCTTGTCAACAAAAAGGGTGATTTAAGGCGCTTTCCGAATTGGGAAAGCAGCTTCATCAAAGTTCTACCCAATCGACGCTCAAACTGTACTTAGCCAAACTTAATCCAGAAGCAAAAGTATACCAAAATCAAAGAAATTAGGAAGAAATCGCTTACTTCTGAGAAATCGAACTGAAGAATCGGGTATTTCCTCTCCGGCCAGAGAGAGAGAGAGAGAGAGATCTGATCTCTTTGAATAATTAAGCTTGAAGAAAAATAAGAAGAAGAAGAAGAAGAGGATGAAGAATAAAAGATGGGCGGATCTTGGGGTTCTTTTTGTCTTGACCAAAGTGCGTGGAGAGAGAGAATTTGAACTTCAGGAGCCCCAACGGCTAGTTCGGTCCATATTACTTTCCAATGGTCATTATTTTTAGTAAATTATGAATTTTCCCCTCAAGTTTTATATTAATTTATTTGTTCTCAAGTTGACTTCATATCTACCATTAACAAAATTGGAAGACAATGTCCTAATCCCCATTGGCCTCGACATTCCAACAGCCTTGCAATGTAGAAAAAAAATGTAGATAAATTTCTGAAAAAAAAAACATAAAATATTAACAAAAACTGAATAATTGGAAATTACATATGGGGATGTTCAGTAGGATATAATTTTTTAAATGATATGTACACTTTTCAGAATATTTTGAATTGATGATGTTGAAAAGAAAAAAAAAAAGAATGTGTCCTTACAAACCTTGACCATGTCTTGTCCTAATTGCCAAAGCTATAAATACAATAATAAAATAATATATAGTTTTTTATATATGGTGATTGTCCCGGGAGATTCGAATCCGGGGCGTGAGAGAGCATTTTGTGCTCTCACGCCACCAGACCACCACGGCTGGGCAAAATAATATATAGTTACCCTGTTCTTGCATTTTTTCTGTTTCCTCATATTACAAAACATTGGTCCAGAGAAAGCAAAAGCAGAGGAGATCATCAATGCTGGTTTTGGTGATGATGATGATATATAAACATACACAACAATCATATACAAACTATACATTGTAACCTAACCAAGTGCTGAACCAACATGCATGTGCCCATATTACATATGATTCTCCAAGTACAAGATAGTTGTCGTGCAGCAGCACGAGTTCTCTCTCTCGCCAAACCGGTTTATCACCCATACCGGTGGTTATGCATCCGGTTATTCATAAACGGTGGTTTACGACATAGTCAAACCATCATTGGCTTTTCTTGAACCAAAGGTTACGCAGAAGAAGATTCTAGAAGGAGCTAAACTCGCCTTGGGAGTAAGATTCGGTGATGCTGAAACGAAATCCCAGTTCAACAGGGGTCGAACCGTATCCTCCATTTACCATCTCCCAATTTTCTAAACCGGACCCGGTTTGCTGATTTGATCTACCGACATCGGTATGGTTCACACCGTGTTGCTGAACCATTGAATCACCTAACACCATCAATCATTCAAACGTTATTTATCGAATAAATTAATTAAAAAATAAAATTCAAAAGGCGCAATTGCATGACGTCATGGCTATATACATACATATACATATACATATACATATATAATTAATTACCTTGGGTCAAGAGGGCAGGCTCGTTTAGGGTACCTTCGATCTCTTCCAACGAAGACCAATTCGTGTAAGCTTGCCTAACCAAACCCTCGAGATATGACTGCACAAAGACTTATCCAAGTGAGATATATACTAATATATAAATATACAAACATAGACAAATGATGAAAATAAAAATCAAAACCATAGTTTGTATATAAGTGGGAAATTAAGATTAAAATTTCATGAAATTATAGCCATACCCTATTTATGGTGGTAATATCTCGAGCAGGGAAGATATGGCCATCGACCACTGCTTTGATAACTTGGCAGATGGGATTAAGAACCAAGAAGAAATTGGGTCCTCTGAAAATGTAGAATTTGTTGCCCATCACACATTCTCTCGCATGCTTCAATGTCACTTCCCACATTTTCTCAGACATTCCGGGCCCCATTATCTGGTAAAAAAATATATAATTTTTTATTATTAAAAAAAGTCGAGATTTTTACCGCGCGGTCAATCATGAAATTAGGGTTTCTGTTTACCATTTTGAGTCTCGGAGGGTCAACGATAGACAATTTCAGGAAGTCTTGGACGGTGTTGACGCCTTCGGCTGAGAGCTTCTTGTGGAATGCGCCTTCTTTGCCGATCTTCTCAAGCCTCCACACGTCGTCCTCGAGCATTGGAGGATGATGTTTCTTGTACACTTCAACCCCATAAAACATTTATTTAAAAAAAAATTCAGAAACAAATTAAATATCATACATATATATATATATATATATATGAGGACTCATGCATGGAGAAGTTCTAATATGTATCAAGAATTTATAATATGATTGATAATCAGAATAGTTTCGATAGAAAAAGTAACTTCTTATATGACTTTTATAAATAATATAACTTTTTTAATACAATAATAAACTCAATCATATAGTTAATCTAAATTCATGCTTCTTTTTTCCATTATTTAAAATGAAAATTTGATCACTTAGTTAGAAAATATGTGGACTTCTCAGTTCGATTATATATAGCCTATTTCGGGTCTAGCATTAAGATAACAAACTAGCTCTTTATAATATGCGCATATATATATATATATATATATGTGTGTGTGTGTGTCCATATATGGGTGTGTGTATGTGTGTTTGGTGAACACATTAGACCAGTATTATCTTTGATAAAAAGATTCCGAAGATGATATCACAATGAACACGTCACTTCACCAGCTAAATTAACATTGACCAAAGACTTCGAATATTTAAATTATGTGGACCACTTTGGCTTGCTAAAGACCGCACCAAGAGCCGCTTTGCATATATATATATATATATATAAATGCGCGAAAATATAGGAACAAAATAAATTTCTAATTGTTTTACAGTTTATCAATATATTTTCTAATGATATTGATGATATATTTTGTGTATATATATACACACACACGCACAAAATGTATAATCTGTATCCGTAGGAAAAAAAATTTGTTAATTATTTTACAGTTTATCAAATTAGGAAATCAAAATTTTCTACTGAAAATATCCCCACTTGAACGAATTGTAAACTAAAATAGAACTCACAAGAAGTGATTATTAAAGCTTATCACAACATGGATTAAGATAATATGATCTCAACTTGGCTATCACGTACACAAATCGAGTTAGAAAAAAAAACAAATACTTTATATATATATATATGTGTGTGTGTGTGTGTGTGTGTGTTCTATTAATTTATGATTAGAAAGTGTGAAGCAAGATGGAATTGAAATGAAGGTCAAAGCTCTACTTCAACATGGGTCTTGAGAGATGTTACCATCACCACCTATCTCTAGTGGACTGTTTTATATGCAAATATATAAATGTTATTTATATATATATATATATATGGGAGAGTTTAATCATAATATATAAGATTATTGCATGATGAGGAATATTACGTGTAAATACGTAGTCAACTTATCGTTTTATTTCTATCATTTATTATCGTTGTATATAGAGACATAAGTTTATATATACAGAAAAAAATTATATGTGAATCCAACTTGGTAGTTTAACCAATGAAATGAGATGCAAAGCGTCTGTTCCAAATTCGAATTTTAAATTGGGGAGGAGAATGTATATTCTAATCACGTGGTTAAACTAAGATTTTAAATTGAGACATGAAACTAGAAACCCCTCTATATATATATATATATCATAGATTCATAAGCAAAATGCAACGAGAAAAATAAAGTAAAATTATAATAATGGTAAGTAAAAGATGAAAGAAATTAACTTACATTCTCCACGGTGATCTCTAACGACGAACGCCTCGGTCATTGCTTCACGAATCCTAACGTCTTGACAACTCCCTCGTGCAACTTTCGCACCGATTCGGAATTTACGGCTACGAATCCAACTCGAATTATCCGTAAATTCGATATCACTGATCGTCCCGACTCCGTTTCTAACGATCACGGTTACTTCTCCCGCAAGCAACGGTCGCTTACCGTCTCTCTCCTTCACGATATTGCTCTCAAACTCTTCACTGCTCCAATTCTCTCCAGAGTTTCCCGTGGGAAAATCTCCGTGGAGGGCTACGATATCGAGTTTGATCAAACGGTTGAGATTCACTTTGACGAAAGAACCATTTTTCATCTCCACAAGTTGGATCTCTAGAGGGTTTTTATCCACGTCCGTGATTTTACTGCCGGTGAAAATTGGTTGCGCCAATTTCTTACTGAAGATGAGTTTTAGGGTTGGAGTCTCCTGTGCTTCGATCCGAAACGACGAAGAACGTCGCTTTAACCCACGTTCGAGTTCTTCATTTACCTGTCACGGTCACGGATACGTTATAGAGATATATAAAATATTATATATATAGTTGATAAGTTCTTATAAGTATGGTTCAATGTACGCGTGATCATTAATTAAGTAAACGGAGTTGGACCGTTTCTGCTTTGTTTAGTTTACTCTATGCTTTATGTACTATATATGTATGTTTACATGAATAATATCGTCAACATAACTATTGGCAGCTTGTATATACATATATTCATATGTATGGATGGATGCATATATGTATGTTTGTGTATCAATCTTTTAATCGTCCAACGTCTTTGACCGGATGTTACGTTAGAGTGCTAACGTTTTACTAAATATCATATATTATGCAGGTAGTTGCCAAATTGACAGACCGAAGAGGCACCAACCTATATATCACCCAATGCACACACACATATATATATATATATATA